AGTCATAACTAAAGAATATATATATATATATATATATATATATATATATATATATATATATATATATATATATATATATATATATATATATATATATATATATTTATACATATATATGTATATATATATACATAATATGTATATATATACATAAGTATATATAAATATATATATATATATATATATATATATATATTCTTTAGTCTTCTATATATATATATATATATATATATATATATATATATATATATATATATATATATATATATATATATATATATATATATTCATATATATTTATAAATTTTAATACGTATGTATGTTAGACCCATGGAAGTCGGCCTAACATACAATTTTTAATATATTTACTTTTTGTTTATGTTAAAATCATTTCATATTTTAATACATTCGAATTTTAAAAGTTTTTTTCATTTCTAATTATTTATTGCTAAAATAATTAATAAAATACCTTATAATATTTTTTTAGTATTTAAATGAGCAAAGTTTGATCAAATCGAGGGGGCTGTTAATTTTATATGGTCATAACTTTTAGGCACAATAATACAAATAAATTAAATTGAAAAACTGAAGGTTTATTTAGTATTAGATAGAGAAACTAAGCATTTTATCAAGTATTTGTCATCATGTTTTGGCAGAGGCAGTTAGCTTGTAGGGGAATTTTTGTTAACAATTCATGAAATTTTCTGCAAAACATTTAGAATTGACCAAAGCATGACCATAATTAAATTTAGTTAAAAAAAAAAATTTCAATGTATCTTGAAAAAAAGACAACTTTATTAGAATGTTATTAGAGTAATAACATTCTAATAATGTTATTACTCAAGATTGTGAAAATTTATAATGATACGGCCTTGAGCTAATTTCATTATAAACTATTAATAAAAGCAGGTTGATTTGATTCAAATAAATAGAGGTTTTTTGAGTCAAGTCTTGAATCACTTATTTGATTTGATTCAAAATATTTAGGCTTAGCAGGGGCCTAATATATATATATATATATATATATATATATATATATATATATATATATATATATATATATATATATATATATATATATATATATATATATATATATATATATATATAAATATATATATATATATATATATATATATATATATATATATATATGTATATATATATATATATATATATATATATATATATATATATATATATATATATATATATATATATATATATATCCACGACATGATATTAAATTAGTTTTTTGAGGTAGGTAGGATTTTTTAGGCCTTAAATTAGATTGCACATTGTTTTTGTCACGATTTTTTTATAAAACATTAAATTCAAAATCAACTAAATCGAAAACTAAAATGCTTTTATTTTCATTTTTTTAATACAAGTAAAATCTATATGCATTATGAAAATCCAAAAAAAGATCTAAACATATTGATTTAGATACCAAAAAAAATAATAATAATTAAACATTTTATCTTAATTTAAAAAAACAATCGGACTAAAGTTAAGTATATATTTCAAACAATATATTAAAACAATAATTTACCAAAGAAAAACCATAAAAAAAGCATTTCAATATTTTGCAGATCCACCTTTCTTAAATAAGGATTGAAGAAGGCAATTATCTAAAATTTCAATGTTTCTATCAGCATTAAGTCAACCTTCAAATAATTAATAGCATTTAAGTCCTGCATAATTCATGTAGGCCCAAAACTCTACACTGCCATTACCTTGCTTGGTTGGTTTTTATGTACAATTCAAATCAAATTACTCTTGAGGTGATCGCCATAGCAGAACACGAAGCAATAACATATTTTTGCATATCTACCTCAACATTCATTTTGTCTGAGAATATAACATTTCACCACTTGCTGTCGTGTTTCATCAAGCAAATTAATTTTATTAATTAAAAACGTTTATCTCATTGTGTTGCCCACCAGATTATCCAGATCCATAATGTCATCTGTTTCAGTATAAGGTTTTCAAATATGTGAATATTCAATATTTAACTTATTGACTATTTGACAAGGAGATTATACTTGGTTTTAAATAAAAATAGATTTGTAACATGTTTTTTCAGAGAATCTCAACCATGATTTTGGAGTTTCATGCTGTATTACTTCACTCATTATGAGGCTTTTTCAATATCTTATTTCTTTGTGTTTTTATCAGTACTATTTCAAAATTAGAAATTTAGAGTTAATAAATGCTAATGAAAATCAAATTAAATTATTAAAAAAAATATTACATTAATTTTAAAAATAAAGCAGTAAGCATTAATTTTTAACGAACAAAAAAAAATTAAAAAAATATAGTTGTAAAGTTGATGTTATAAAGTTACATATAATTAGGGATACAAATGAAATTTTATGGTAACAACTTGTCCATTAAATAAAAAACACGATACTTATTAATTAGAAATAATAAAATATTTAAAAAGCTAACTAGTTTTTAAAGTAATTTTAAGCAAACAGGATATATAAGTAAGAATGCTCTAATTAATGGCCAATGGTGTATGTATCATATATATATATATATATATATATATATATATATATATATATATATATATATATATATATATATATATACAGGCCTCAGCGGGAAGCGAGAGCTTTAGCTCTCGCTCTTGCCCACACTCCCCTAAAACAGTTTACAGGAGCAATTTATGGCTCTCGCAAAAGTATAATTTTTCTCATGAAGGTATAATTAAAATTACAAAAGAGTGCTAACTTAAATGAGGAGCAGCTCACACAGCTCCCCAAATTCGTTTTAGGAGAGCTTTTCTCAGCTCTCGTGCTCATTTGTTCCCGCCGAGGCCTGTATATATATATATATATATATATATATATATATATATATATATATATATATATATATATATATAAATTTATTGGATACAAATTGTATATAATATATAGTTAAATGATTATGATATATTATAAAAACTATATTTTATAGTTTATATTACCTATATTATAAAAACAAATATAAATTAAATGCTTTATAAACTATGTAACATAATACATTTATATTTAACTTATATATAAATATTTTATCTTACATACTTTATAAGTAACTTGTGAACTTTTTAGCCTTTTTTTTTTTGCATTTATAGTATAGTCATTCACATATAATTATATATTATAATTTATATTATAATTATTCACATTTAATTATATATATATATATATATATATATATATATATATATATATATATATATATATATATATATATATATATATATATACATAATATATATATATATATATATATATATATATATATATATATATATATATATATATATATATATATATATATATATATATATATATATATATATATATATTAGCTATAATATAGCTAATATATATAGCCTATATACCTTAATATAAATGTATCATACATCTACAAAATTAGTGTTGGGTGAATTCTATTATTGTTCAGAAAAAAATTGAATACTCAGATCTGAAAACAATTTCAAATCAAGATAAGACTATTCGAAATAAAAAAGTAAAAATTATTAAATTGTATCGCTCAGATTTTTAGAAAAACAGTTTTGAAAATGTAAACAAATCACGCTTTTAACAGTCAGATAAATGTAGCAGAGAATCACAGTTTTTTATATATTTAAACATCTTTATATTGTTTTTATCATTTTTGAATCAACAATTCAATTATCTTTATTATTATTTCATTCTATCAAAAATATGCAAATAATAACTACTTAGTAAAACTTTAAAAATATTGTTGCTACTCAGAAAAAATTTTGGTATCTAAAGGCCGTCACCATCTTTAAAATTATAATATTTGAATTTGACACTGCGCTTGCGTATAATAACTTTCCACATCTAAACGACCGTGTGTTACCATAACAAATGAAAACTTAGTAACTACAAAACAGAATTGTTAGTTCTTGGCCTTGGTCATGTCTTAAGGCCAAAAAAAAAAGACTTTGGTCTTGGTTTGGCCTTGAAACTTTTGTCCGTAAAAATTTCGGCCTTGGCCTTCAAAAAAAAAATACATAAAATTAAAGAATTAAAGGTTTTCATTCTTTCTTTTTAAGCATTTTTGTTTTTAGCTTTCATATATTTCTACAAGTATTTTTCCTATTGGTTTTGTAGAATTTTGCGCATAACCTTGGTTTATTTTTATAACATGTGGTTTATTGTCACAGCAATTGTTACCTTCAGTTTTGTTAATAATTGGCCTTAACGTAAGCCAAAAATTTAAGTCTTTGGCCTTGAAAATGTTTGCGTAGGTCTTAGCCTTAAAAATCTTATTCTTTGCCTTGCCCTTAAAACTCTTGGCCTTATCCTTGACTTTGTAACTTTTGGCCATGGCCATGCTACTTTTGGCCTTGTTAACAACATTGCTACCGAGCACTTTTTTTAAAGTATTGCAAAATAAATACGCATTGCAAAAAGCATCCCAAAGAAGGATACGTCATTAGAATAACATCTATCAGCAATTATCCTAACCGTAACATCATTTTTTTTTTTTTTTGATGGAAAAAAAAACTTATGCATATAAAACGACGTTACCAATGTTTAAACAAAAAAAAAAGTTATTTTAAATACAAACTACAAAATAAAAAATATGCGGTTTCATTTTCATCCATTTACAAATGTTTTTTTGTGATTGAAAAATTAATCGTGCCTCAATTTTTTAAATTTATTTTTACTAAATAAAGTTAATGCTATAGATAAACCGTAAATTGGTTTTAAAATAACATTGTAAAACTTACCTTGACAACGTTTTTGTTTCAGTTTGACATAAAGTTTGGCTAAACGAAATACGCCTTGATTGCTCAATTTGTCTACTTTTTTAACGAGCTACTTATTTAACGCATATAGGCGTTAAATAAGTATCCGTATACTAACGCATGCGCAAACATTACATTTTGTCTACTTTTTTAACGGGTACTTATTTAACGCAACAACGGCTGAGTTTTATTAAATATAACGGGCCGACCAAGTTTTATTGAATATAAGGGCTACCAAATGCGATTAGTAAAACAACATTCATAAACCGAAAGCGTGGTAAATGGCATAACTAAATTTACACAAACTAAATGGAGAATAGTGGAAAGTGTTATTCTACTAAGAGAAGAAAAATTCTTAAAAAGGTTGCTACTCATCTAACAAACATATTCGACAATTCACTAAGTAATAACATTTTGATTGAACAAAATTTTACAAAATGTACAACTGTTACAGATAGTCAAATCAATACCTGTGATACTAATTTAGATAATGATATATGTCTACCTAATTTTGACATAAACATTGCTGGATTACAAAGTTATACTAACACTGATTACGATTATGTTGGTATTTCCGATTTTTCATCTCCATCAGACATTCTCCTTCATGTTCTGATGTTTCTGAGCAAAGACTTACATTCTCCTTCATTTTCTGATAATGAGAGCAAAGAGTTCTGCAAGCGAAGATTGTCTATCATCAGATCTTGGTCAGTGGGCATTAGATAATAATATTAATAATTTAGCTTTAAAAAATCTTTTAAATATATTGCATCCACTTTATCGCAATTTGCCAAAGGATCCAAGAACTTTACTACACACTAAATCAGTTAGTAACATCAACAACGTTACTAACCATGTCATTGCTTCGTGTACTAGTGGGGGTCAATATTATCATTTTGGCTTGAAAAATTCAATTCTTTATCAGATTACTACTGGGCATATTAAACTTACTAAACAACATACACTTCTCCAAGTACAAGTTCACATCGATGGACTATCTATATACAAAAGCTCAAACTTCCAATTCTGGCCAATATCAGAGATAATATGTGAATCAAAATGTAAGTTACCATTTATCATTGGACTTTATGCAGGGCCGCATAAGCTAAAATATTGACGAAATCATGAATAACAGAATAACATCAGACATCAATGTCTGATGTTATTCTGTGTTTATATCATTTAGTTACCGAATCCATAAAAGTAGTTAATGATATAATGGCTTCAGGTAAAGATGTTTAGTTTGAATAAACTATTTATAATGTTGAGTTACGTAGATTTTTATACTATATATACAATAAATAACAAAATTTTGTTCTACCCTATATCTTGTTTTATTTGGAAAACTCAGTGATTTCAAACCAAAATTCTCCAACTCAGTGTAAAAATGTCAGCAATGCTATATCAAACGAAAATACGTATTTAAAAGGTACATATATCTTTATGATTAGGTTACTTTTTGTACTTTTTGTGTATAAGTTTCAAGTTTTTGTTTTTTAGCTCTTTCACAAATTTTTGTAACATTGATTTTTTAAATTGAGCAGATAAAAGCTCAAAATGATGTTATTATAAGTAGTCAAATGCACCAATTTGCTAAGCAGAATATGGAAAGTGGTAATGTAGCACTACCACTTCCAAACAATTTACAATTGCCTTTGGAAACTGTTGATCAGTTAACACAGCTAGATGATTTGTGTAAAGATTGTGGTACTTACAGCAATTTGTTATGATTTAAAAGTTTGAGTTTATGTAGGATTTAAAATTTATTTATAATCATATTGTATAAATATTTTAAATTTTAAATTATGTAGGATTTAAAATTTATTTATAATCATATTATATAAATATTTTATATTTTAAAATTACTCTATGGTTAATAGATTGATTTTCTTTTTTTTCAATTTTGTTAAAGAATCAATGTTAACACTCCAAAATGTTATGAAAATTTAATAAGCTTTGAATTCGGTTGATAAATTTTAGGTTAAACTACTCTCCAAAGTAGGCGGCAGTGATGAGGTTGACGTGACAAGACGAATTATGAAACGTCTCATTTCAACAAAGCTTGCTTGTCTTCTTAATTTGAAAGGGGTTTGTGGGAAGCATGGTTTTGGAAAGTAAAGTTTGAAATCGGTTGTTGAAGGTATGTACTTTTCTAATTTAAATTCTCATTACTTTATCTGTTTTCATTGGTCATATTTTATTCACTCTTATAAAACCATTGTCTTTTTGCAAATAATTGTTATGAGCAAAAATATGATTTGTTACATGTTACTTTACGTTACATGTTACCCGAATTTATATTTTGTTAATTTTGGTTTTCACTCAGATGCGGTCCGCCAAAGTCCCTCTTCAGTTTTTTTTTTTTTTTTAATTTTAATTCACCTCCTCAAGGCCGAGAAGGCCACTACAGACGAGGAGGCTACTTATTTGTGGCTATAACCCTCTCTCAACTCTATAACTCCGAAACACGAACCTTGATGAACAAGGCCGCTGCGCGGAGAAACGAGTTGAGCGCGGTACTACCAGGGACGTGGTGAGGATCGAACTCCGAACCACTCTTTTATGAAGTAAACGCTCTACCACTACACCACTACCGCATACCGCAGTTAATGCAAAAGATACCACTACCGCATACCGCAGTTAATGCAAAAGATGCATCTATCAATAAAAATATTCAAAGTTGGCTTCGACAAGCTGTAGATAGAGATGGTGGCCGTCAACGAAGATATGAAAAATCGAAAAGTAAACAGACTAATATTTTATTACCTTGAAAATACTATATTGTTAAAATATTATTTAATTTTGTAATGAAAACATTGAATTTTATTAAATTTAATAATTTAATTGTTAATTTTTTTTTTTCTATATCCAATTACTAAATTTCGCAAGAATTACTTAGTTTGATTAATGTAAATAAAACTAATAAATTTAAAAAAATGCTATGGATGTATCCTACTTTTACTAAGACTAAAGAACTTTTTTTCTATCGGCCCAATGCAAATTTTATAACGGCAGAATGCCTGTTTGACCATCGGCCCAACGGAGGTTTTAATATCGGCGTTATACAAGTTTTACTATCGGCCTTCTGCAAATGTTGCTATTGGCCCAATGCTAGTTTTATTGTCGGCCCAGCGCAAGATTAATGCTTTTTGCCGCTTCTGGCCCGCTGTTGGGCCGATAATCAAAACGATGCAGGACCAATGCCGGCAGCCAGCACTGGGTCACTGCTTTTGTCAGCTCTGAGCCAGCAGTGGGCCAATGTTAAAATGTTACATGGGTTATGCGTACCGTAATATAAATTAAATATTAAAATAACGTATTGTATAACTTAAATATAAAAATTTACAAATCGGTATAGGGGAAGTGGGGGCATAACCGCAAATGGAGGCACAACCGTTTTTTAACATTTCCCTTTGAAAAATGCTATCTAATATAGCAATACCACGCGTAGGTAAAACAGTTTCCTTCATTTCACTTATGTCAAAAAAGAGTGCCTGTTGCGTTTCTGAGAAGTTGTGCATAATAATTTTTATTTTGATTAAAACATATTTACATACTTTTCCAAACCTTCCTTTTGAGGAATAAGCAATATTTGATTTTAGTGTTAAAGATATGTGTTATCAGCGTTATTTCATCAAGTGAAAACCATATCAACATAACGGAATAAGCGAGCTATAAAACTGTATTCTTTCTAAAAAGTGTCCACTTTTTAGACGCACAGAAGGCACAACCGTATACTTTTAATATTTATCAATGTTAGGTAATTACAAATAACAATAATTACAATCGTCACAATTGAATGCATTCATGTAAAAACTTGAATAGAAATAATTTTGTTCTAAGATATTGGAAACTAGATTTCGTATTTTTTATTTAATTTTTATAAATGAGATTTTGTCTAAAATATAAAGCTATGAGTATAAATCAATATCTTTTTGTATTTATATATATATATATATATATATATATATATATATCTGATGACTATTATATTATTATATATTGCAGGTATATAATTGTGTATTTCTTAATTTTGAAATTAAAGAAAAAGTACCACGAAAAGTGTACTCCTAACAATTTTTGTGAGGGTGCAGTTTTGCCTTACAATGGGGGCAAAACCGTTTTTTTCACTAAGTGTAATTTTTGTGTAATAACATTTTCAAAAACCGTTAAATTTTTATCTTAATTGCATCAATTTAAAGCTATTAAAAAAACACATTTAGTTGTTTTTTTTCATATAACATTAATCCAAACGTTACGGGGGTGGTTATGCCCCCCACTTTCCCTATATGCTTATACATATTCAATACAATACGTAATATATATTTAAATATCTAAAATAGATTAAAAATTCAAGAAGATTCAAAACCTTTTCAAAATTTAAATTCATCTGTTTATATTTTTTATACAAAATTAAAACAGACAGACAAAAACAACAAGACAGATATATCATAAAATAAAATTCTTTTTGTGTTTTTAAAAAATAAAAGAGTGCATGTTTTGTTTAAATTTACTAGGGTAGATTAGGGCAATATGAGCACCTTGGTAATACGAGCATACTTGAAGATTTCTTAGATGTAAGCAGTGAAGTTAAAGTTGCTTTGTATTTTTTGAATCGACATTATGTGGTGATAACAGAAATCAGTACAATTAACGTAAATTTATATGCAGTAATTTGCGGCTAATTAAAACGCTCTTAAATTTTTCGTGTTGTTAAAATAATATTATCACGCATACATCTGACGCGCGAAATTTGTGGTGCTACTGTAATGAAGTGATTTTTTTCATAAAGAAAAATATGTTAGCTAAAAATCCAATTCATTTTTGTTTGAAAAACAATGCATAGAAACATTTTTGACTTTACTTAAAGATTCCATTTTTAAGTAATATGTGCATGCTCAAATGTTTTTCATTGAAATTAGTTTAAAGTCCTAAAATAGCATTAGTTTTATTTGCTTTTTGAACAAAAACAAAACATAGTAAAAAAATTCAATACTAAATGTATATATATGAAATATGTAATACTGGATAAAAGCCTTTTTAACAAACTGCAAGCAGCGTGTTATACTTGGAGATTCAAAATCTGACTGGATTGATGTAACTAGCAGGGTTCCCCAAGGTTCTGTGTTAGGACTAACGCTCTTTGTCATATTTGTTAATGACCTGCCAATCTATGTCAAATCAGCCACTTGCAAAATGTATGCAGATGACACAAAGCTTATGAAAGTTGTTGAAAATGATGAAGACCGAGCAGGTTTACAATCCGATCTAGACGAGATCGTTAAATGGACGCAAACCTGGCTAATGGAGTTAAATGTGAAAAAATGTAAAGTTAAGCATGTAAACTCTGGAACAATAAAATTTGATTACATTATGAATGAAATCAAAAATAAAGGTACAACCAATAGAGTAGTTTTGGAAGTCACAAATTCCGAAAAAGATCTCGGAATTCTAATCTCCGAGAATCTTAAATATGCTCAACATATGTATTTATACAGCATATATTAAACCACATCTGGAGTTTGCCATACAAGCTTGGAACCCTTATCTTTATTTTTATTAATAATATTTAGAAACGACATTTGAAACCGGTATATTTATGACAGATATTAGTGATCATTTCCTGGTATTCATAAAAACAAAAAATCTAAAAGCTATGACTGATTGTCATTCAAAAAGCATACATTTGAAAAAACGAAATTTAAAAATGAGAAACACTAATAAATTAACAAATAGGCTAAAACAAGAATCATGGAACAACGTATATAAATGTCAAGTTACGAATGGAGCTTACAATGCTTTTTTAAGTACATTTTCGGAGTACTTTAATGAGACCTGTCCTCAAGAGAATATAAGAATTAAGTCAAAAGCAATTGCTAACCCGTGGATGGATAAATCGTTATTAAAGTGCTCAAAAAAAAAGCAAAAACTTTACAATAAATTTCTGAAACATAAAAACAATGATAATGAAAAAAATTATAAATATTTTTACCAAGATCTCATTAAAAATGCAAAAAAAAAAATATTACAGTAATCAAATTAACAAATGCAAATTTGATTGCAAAAATACATGGTCCATCATCAATGTCATAATGAGAAGAGAAAAACTAAATTCACCTTCTCTACCTAAACGAATTGTTATTGAAAACAACGATATATTTAGTCAAAAACAAATTTTGGAAGAATTCAATAAATATTTTACAAGTATTGGTCCAAATCTTGTAAAAAAAAAAATAGTACCAACATCTGTATCATTTAAAACCTTCCTTAAACCAACGAATAATGTTATCATGCTTGATTATGAATTAACCTATGAGGAATTTGAGGTAGCTTTTTCCTCGTTAAAAAAAAAAAAGGCTCCGGGATTTGATGAGATATCTAGTAATATAGTTATTGCAAACAAACACAGTCTTAAAAGACCTCTAATACATATACTAAAGCTTTCGTTAAATTCTGGGATATTTTCGGATGTACTTAAATTAGCAAAAGTAACTCCATTGTACAAATGTAATGATCATTCTGACATTACAAACTACAGGCCTATATCAGTACTTTCTGTATTTTCAAAACTATTCGAACGTGTGGTTTATAATAGAATCTATGATTACTTCATTAAAAACAATTTTTTTTACCCAAATCAGTTTGGTTTTCAAAAAAATCTCTCTACTGAGCATGCAATCATTGAAATAGTAAATCAAATAACTAATGGTTTTGAAAATAATAAATTTACTTTAGGAGTATTTCTTGATTTATCAAAAGCATTTGATACAGTGGACCACTGTATTCTCTTAGATAAATTAAGACATTACGGAATAATTAATAAAACTTCTTATTGGATTAAAAGTCATCTTACAAACAGAAAACAATATGTAAATAATGCCCAATCTGGAGTGTTAAATGTCGTATGTGGAGTTCGGCAAGGATCGATTCTTGGTCCACTTCTTTTTTTAATATATATAAATGACTTCTGTAATGCATCATTAAAATTTAATTCAGTCATGTTTGCTGATGGCACGAATTTATTTCTTACCAACAACGATATCAAGAAATTATATGCGGACATGAATATTGAACTAAATAAAGTAAATAACTGGTTTAAGGCTAACAAACTCTCACTTAATACCGAGAAAACAAACTATATACTTTTTCATAAAAAAACACAAGAAGAAAATCTTCCTCTCAAGTTGCCAAACCTATTTATAAATGATAAATTAATTAAAAAGCAATCCAATATAAGATTCTTGGGAATCGTTGTTGATGAAAAATTATCCTGGCTTCCTCATATAATATATACCCAGTCAAAAATTACCAAAATCATAGGTTTAATGTATCGAGTTCGCTCGTACATTAATACAAATAGTCTTAAATTAATCTACTTGGGGCTAATTCACAGCCTCATCAGCTATGCAAACATTTCATGGGCAAGTACTCAAACATCAAAGCTATAAAAACTTTATAGTTTAAAGATATGAAAACGATGAATGTATTTGAAATAAATATCTACCAGCATTTAATTTTCATGTATCGTTACAATCACAATATCTCTCCTATAAGCTTTAATAATAAGTTTGAGTTAAATAAAAATGATAACTATAATCTTAGAGCGAATATTTTGAACACATATAAACTACCAAGGATAATAAATAAATATTCAGAATACAGCATTTTATATAGAGGTCCAAAAGTATGGAATATTTTTCAGAAAGGGTTCAAAGGTACGGTGAGTTCGTTAAGTTCATTCAATTTTTGCAACAAAAAAAGAAATCTTTAAAACCGGTGAAACATTTTTTGTTAATAATGCTTTGGATAAATTCTCTTAAATAAGTTTTTGTTTTGTTTCTACT